ATTACAAACTGCTTCCACTCTACCACTCTAAACATATCCCAGGCTGCATCAGCACTGCAGAAATAATCCAGTTTCACATCACTTTAACTGCTATGGCTCAGTGCTATGGAATTCTGGGATTTGTAGTTTTCTTACATGATATTTAGCCTTCCCTGTCAGAGAGCTCTGGGGCCTCAACAAACTACAATTCCCAGAATTCTATAGCATTGACCCATGAAGTGGTGTCAAACAATCTTGTCTCATTTGAGATGCTAAGCATGATTGAGATGTTGGAAAGGAATGTAGGGGGACTAGGGTTGTTATATAAGGCACCATGTTGGCATGATGACGTAGCCATTGCGTGTGTAGTACCTGTGTAGTTAGGATTTTGTTATTATTGAGTTTGCTTTGACTTATCAAGTCAGTGACTCTATGAATGTGAGAACTTCAAGAGCCCTGGTCATCAACAGTCCTACTCAGGACTGTGGCTTCCTTTACTGAATCAACCCCTCTGTATTCTAGTCTTCTTCTTTTCCTATTCCTTCCACTTTACCAAGCATTATCTTTCCCACTGAGTCATATAATCTCATAACATGTCCAAAGTACAATAGCTTCAGTTTAGTCATTTTGGACCCACATTGGCATGACCTTTCTATGGTGATGGGATAGTGTTCTTTGTAATAAGGCACATAATGAGAAAAAAATTTGTTATCCCAATTACTGGAGTCAGCGGAGGACGCTCACCAATTAACATATTTTCAGGGGAATTATAGTTATAGTTATAGTCAAATGATAGTTATAGTACGGCCAGGATAACAGCGGCCTCAGGATGGCAACCCAACTATACCAGGTCTGAATCACACAGAACTCCAGGGGCAAATCCAAATAGGTTTTGTTTTTGTTTTTTTAGGGCAGGGGCCGGCAACCTACGGCCCCCGGGCTGGTTCCGGCCCAGGTCGCCAGACTTACCGGCCCAGGCGGACCCCTGCTGCCACCACCGCCGGCGCGCACCGCCACGGCCATTTTGATTTCCAAAATGGCGGCCGTGAGTACTCCTGCGCATGCGCAAACATGTCACGGCTGCCATTTTGGAAATCAAAATGGCAGCTGTGACATGCACGGCGGTGGTCGCGTGCGCCGCGGTGGCAGTGGCGGCGGCGGCAGCGGCGCGCATGCGCGCTGCCATTCCCCCCCCTCAGCCCGGCAGAGACCAGGACTTCGGGGGACCAGGCTAGATCTCAAAAAGGTTGCCTACCCCTGTTTTAGGGTAAATAATCAACACACACGTACACTCACACACCCACAGAAGTGCTAGGGAAGCAAAGGTGGGAGAACTGTAATACGTTTAAGGCCTTGCTAATGGTAATATGTTACCAGTGTGGATCTTGATTCCAATCAATGGGAGTCCAGAACGGAAAAGACTCAATAGCCGCTGTGGCAAAGGGGATTAGCTGGCAAAGGGGGTTAGCCTAGTCTAGCTAAACTGACAGAATACCTGCCTTCTTGCAAACTAGACTGAAGAATGGCTGTTTACTAGCTGTATACAGCATACCTGCTCCATACGTGGGTTTGTCATACGTGGACTTAAGCTTTCATGCATGGCAAGTCTGAGAAATTAAAATGGTGCCCATGCCCACGCTGTGCGCACCAATAAAAATCAATGGGACTTGAGGGCCTGCGTTTTTTGCCATATCCTTGTGGGGGGGGGTCTAGAACTAATCCCCCACATATACAAAGGTCCCACAGTATATACCCAGAATTGTTCCCAGTGGGCAGAAACCAAGGCTTGAATCGATTAGATGTTCTGCTAAATTGTTTCCAAAGGGGGGGAAAATGTGAGGACTAGAAGTGGATAGTTGGGTGATTGTTGTGAATGCGCTAGATAAAGGGATTTGCTAGTGCTTCCCTATCTTAGGCAGTTTCAAGCAATCACCTCCTTTGGCCATGATCCTCTCACTGCCCTCTGTAGACCAAAGGGATTATGGTGGATCCTTGGGCAATCCCATCATGGTGGGTGCCTTCTAGACCCTGGCTACCCCTAACTGGTTTTTCCACATGTGAGAAGGTCAGGCGTCCACAGCGGTGTTATGCCTAGGTCACCCTCCAGCCTCCCTGTTGAATATTAAATTGATATGAAATATGAGGCACAATTGGAGGCCTGGTCCCAGGGTAACATTTTAATCTTTTCATGTCTGTGTGGGGTTGAAGTGGAGTTTGCCTTGAAAAGAAAAGGACTGGAAAGAGTATAGGAAAGGTTATGCTTATCATTACTGAATGTAGCCAGTTGAGGAATAAAGGAGATCACCCGTCCAAGAAATAAAATGAAAGAAGAGGGAGCCATGCACAGCCACGTGGACCTCACAGACATCATCAATCATACCAGTAATATTCTATAGTGGCTGGGAGATCCATGCTCAAAAAAGGAGATTGGGCAGCCTTTCAGTTATTCCAGTTGCCAGATTATTTTCCATTTGGGAAAAAAATACGGCAAGAGTGAGAAATACCCTGAGACACCACAAGGGAACATGTGTGTCCTCCCAGTTGTCTCAAAGCCAACTGCACTGTCCCTTGATTGATAAGCCCAGGTAACAAACTGCAACATCAATTTGGATTTTTCTTTGATTTCTGTTTAAGACTATAGTTGAATTTTCCCAGCACATCCAAAGTTTCTTTATCATTCTTCTAGTGGTAAATTTATCTGAGCACCTGTCAGTATTTTAGAAGTGAAACAATGCTCCCTAAAAATTATAATAAGATAGTGACTTCTGCATGCTGAAGTGAACTCCCTTGGTATGCAAAAGTACATAAGCATGTATTTTAAGTAAGAACCTGTTGCAACTGTCTGTTAATGGAAAGTAATGGGGGGGGGTGAGGGGTGAGATGATTTTGTTCTGCTTGAGAACTCTGTCCTGGAAATAGGGGGAATGCCCACTATGGTGATAAACTAGTGATGTTAAACTATATTCCCCATACTGTTTCTTCATTCCAGCTACGTATTAATTAAGCCAGGGGTCGGCATACCTTTTTTGGAGGGCCCCGGTTCCGCTGTCCCCCAGATCATCAGCGGGCCGAAGGAAAAAAAAATGGCACCGGAGGTGAGTGCGTGCATATGCACGCACATGCGCACTACTCCTAGCGTTGTGCACATGCGTGCGCGAGCACAGGGCGCCATTTTGTGTTCCAAAATGGTGCCCGCGCTCACAACGCATGACGCTGGGTGCCATTTTGGAACATAAAATGGCGCCCTGCGGCGTACGCGGCAGCAGGGCCGGCCATAGGCCGGTTGAAAGGCCTCAAGGGGCCGGGTTCAGCCTCCCGGCTGTAGTTTGTCAACCCCTGAATTAAGCAATCAGGCATTGTCATTACAAAAAACAAAACAAAAACATAATATAGTTTTTCCTTATTGTCTCTTGTGACTTACACAATAGCATTTTCTGCCTCTCCCAAGCTATACTAAAGAACCTTTTAGGTGTGAATAGCTTTTGTAGGAACCCTACACCCTCCTCTCTAGTGAGTATAGAATATGGTGACTTTATTTTACTGGAAAGTGCTTCCTCTTATATGTGACTGGGCACCAAAATTTCAGCAATCTCCTTTATGTACTGCAGCACTCCATTCCATATCCCATTTGATTGTAGAGGGTTTCAGATCTTTCTGGAGCTTCTTTCTCAGTTGGTATGAGAGTCAATCTATGTTCACAATTGTCATTAAAATGAGGTGCTACAACCTGCACTTTCTGATTACAATGTTTTATAACTTAAATCTCTGAAAAGATGCCATATCTTTTGATATCCAAATTTATTTCTGGCCCTCATGAAGTCAGTAAAGTGCTAGACATTAGAACAATAGGTAGTCTTTTTTTTCTTGTTCTGCCAGTTTCTGAAAACTGAAATCCCAGCAGTGATCAATAGATTCTCAACCATTTATTTATGTATATCATGTATCTGTTCTTTTTACATAACCAAGTAAAACTGTCAAGAGGGTCACAGGATAAGTAATTGTCAATAGATAGTGCATGTTTATCCTTTTCTAAAAATAATTGAAGAGGGGCGGTGTGAAGCAGATATGAGTAAATTGGTTTTATTTCCTGTTCTTCAGCACCTGTCTTCAGTGTTCCCATATGTGTGACTCCATCTATGGTATTTCAGATAAAATTGGCTGCTTCTTTTTCATTAATGTATCTGGACCATTTGAGAGTATTTTCTTCCAGACCAGTGAAGAAACAGGATGATCAAATGCTCTCATCTGGTTTTGACAAGGTTACCATCTTTATTGCTGGGTATTGGATGACAAATACTGAAGGGTAACACATCTCATGGCATCAGTTTCAGGAAGGCATTTGTAGTGTGTTCTTTCAACGTTTTGGGAAATATAATGTGGGACCTAGGATGTACAGGCTCAGGGAATATTACCTTATTTTTGTGCTGTTATCATGCAGGTGACTTCTTGAAAACACTTCAGGACCCTGATTTGAATGTTCGACGTGTTGCTTTAGCCATGTTTAATTCTGCTGCTCACAACAAACCGTCTCTAATCCGAGACCAGCTCAGCACAGTCCTACCACACTTATACAATGAAACAAAGATTAGAAGAGAACTTATACGAGAGGTATGGATGTGGACGATAAAATCCATTTTATTTTATCCTCTTAGAGACAGTTGTGGCAGAGACAAATTGCCTTTTTCTACAAGAATATATATGTATTACTACAGAGTGCAGTGATTTCATATGGATTACTTTGTAGCAGGGATCATCTGTAGTTTATGCTAAATGAACAAAAAATTGCTTAAAACAAATTCACTGTAAAAATAAAAAATGGCTAGGCTTCTAATTGTAATGATACTGGCCAGGATTCTACATCATTGTCTTGTTGTTGTTGTGTGCCTTGAAGTCATTTCTGATTTGCAGTGAAGCTGAATCTACCATGGGGGTTTCTTGGCAAGACTTGTTCAGAGGTTTGCCATTGCCTTCCCCTGAGGCTGAGAGCATGTGACTTGCGCAAGGCCAGCCAGTGTGTTTCATGGCCAAGCAGAGAATCAAACCCTGGTTTCCAGAGTTGTAGTCTGATACTCAAACCACTATGGCACAAGTCTACATTTTATAAATTTATGAATTCATAATAGCTGTGTTGCAGAAATGCAATAAAATCCTGAGTGAATTGCAAAGATATGCATTTGGACTTTGGCAAAAGTGTTCCAGTGCACCTGAGACACTCCTCTTGCACTCCAGTACTTTCTAGGCAGTGTCTGGATGTGTCTGGTGCCCATGACACATTGTGGGTGTGATGCATTAGTCACTCCACTGGCTATCATTGTGCAGTGGACACCTGTATGTTGTAACATCATGGCAACCCCTAGGTGAATAGTAATAGCAAGTAGATTTCTATACTGCTTATCTGTGCACTTAAGCACACCCTAAGCAGTTTACAGTGTGTAAACTAATTGCCCATCCAAGTATTAGCCATGCCTGACCCTGCTTAGCTTCCAAAAACAGTTGGAATTATTATGTAGGCACAGGGTTGCGTAGTTAAAAACATTTCAAGGCATTTTGGACATTCTTGACATCTCTGTCAGATAGATATCTACATATCAGGAACTATATCTACAAGATGGAACTCTTATGGATAAGGGATGGTATGAATGAGTGTTGCAGTGAGACTGAAACTGGGAGGGATCAGTTTCCAACCAGTTAGAGGGAACAACATGGCAGAAACATAGCATGAAAGATTGTATAAGATTCACCTTATACTAATTTTATCATGGTTAAATGGTGCATTCACACTCTGGGTGGCTTAACTGTATAGAAAAGTCTCTGCAAGTTACCCATGCTGGTTGAAATGTTTGATAGAAAGGCTCTTCCTGCCTTAACTTGCTGAACGACAAGCTCTTTTTCTTGTTTTAGGTTGAAATGGGGCCCTTCAAACACACCGTAGATGATGGCCTTGATGTAAGGAAAGCTGCCTTCGAGTGCATGTACACACTTTTGGAAAGCTGCCTGGACCGACTGGACATTTATGAGTACTTGAATCATGTTGAGGATGGCTTGAAAGATCACTATGATATCAGGGTAGGTACCTCTTTGTCATTAGCATCCCAGTTTTTAGTTTCATCTTTCACTGAGGCCTTTACAGTGCTGTAGGGATTATTCATGACCTGCTTCATGTCTAGAAACCACCAGTCTTCTTCCTTCTCACGTTAATAAAAGTGTTCATTTTTATTTGTTGTTGTATCAAATTAATTCCAACTGTTACCCTACTATAGGGTTTTTTTAGCAAGATTTATTCAGATGTTTGCCATTGCTTTGTAAATGCTGAGCTAGGATGGTCTATAAACCTGAATATCAAGACCTATTTCTCCAGTGGCTTTAAAATTCCAGAGACCCACATTCAGACATTTCGTACACAGAATGGTAGGCTGGAGGAAGGGACAGGCTTGGTCCCTATGGTCAGTCTTGCTGTATATATATATATAGTGTGTGTGATAGCAGCTAAATATCATTTGTTCCCCCCGCTTTATCTTGGAACAACCTAGTGTTTTCAAATGTGAAGAAAAATTGTAATGATTAATTTGGGGAGGAACGCTGCTTGCATCCGTTATATGAAAATGAGCATGAGTTATTAGAAATCTAGTACCAGACATCTTAGAAACACTGTTAATGCCACCTTTTCTCCTCTCTTCAATACTCAAGATGTTGACTTTCATTATGCTGGCTCGTCTGTCAACACTTTGTCCTAATGCAGTCCTACAAAGATTGGAACAGCTTGTTGAGCCCCTGCGAGCAACATGCTCTACTAAGGTAATACTTTAGATACTAGAAAACTCAAATGTGTTCATTTCCTTGAAGCTTTTCCTCTCATGTCTTGTTTCTTTAGACTAAATAAGGTAGACCTACTTACCTTTGCTTGTTGTATGTCACCTGCAGAGCTCCAAGCTAATCATAGCATGCCATTTGTCTTTCAAAATTGCTATGAACTCGTTTTTGTCTCAAAGCATGAACTATGTGTCTTGCTTCGGCTCTGCTTTAACTCCGTCTCCCCCTTAAACTGCCCCCCCAGGCTGTTAAAAGCTTTATTGGCCCAGATGCTCTAAGGCAGGGGTAGGCAACCTTTCCCCTTTAACGGCTGAGGGACTTCAGTTCCCAGAAGCCTCAGCCATGTTGGCCAATAGTCCCATGTTGGCCAATAGCTCCTGGGATTCTGGGAGCTGAAGTCCCTCGGCCCTTAAAGGGGAAAGGTTGCCTACCCCTGCTCTAAGGCCTCATAAAAGATTGTTACCTCTAAACATTTTGGATCTAGGACCCACTTTCTATGGCTTGCATTCATGCAACCTTCAGGTGGGTGCTTCCTTTACAACTATTGTGGAGATAATGCCTCTTCCCAATCATCAATGCAAAACTTTTAAGCACTGATAGCAGCTTTCTCTATGTGGCTTACAGAGGGTGGCTGTCATGATTTGTTTACATTCATTTCTGTATAGTGGGGGTATGAATAAATAAATGCAAGACCATTCAGTCATAATTAAGAAAGTGGTTATGTTCTTCCAGTTGTACTGTTACCAGTGCAATCATTTCAGATATGGTTGCAACCTCACCTAAGCCTTCTAAATGAGAGCAGAATAGAAATTAACACAGTAGCCAATAGGTTTATTTGGTGATTTTGAGAGCAACGTGATGGGCCAAATCTCAGTGGACTGTAAGCCTATCAGTCAATGTATGTTCTGCCTGAAGACTGTCAAGGTGACTGACTCATTTTGCTATTCTTTAAAATGCTTTTCTTTAGGTAAAAGCTGGTTCTGTGAAACAGGAATTTGAGAAACAAGACGAACTGAAACGTTCAGCAATGAGAGCAGTAGCTGCTCTACTCACCATCCCTGATGTAGATAAAAGTCCTGTGATGGCTGAATTTTCCTCCCAAATCAGAGCCAACCCTGAAATGTCTTCACTTTTTGAAAGCATTCAAAAGGATTCTACTTCGTTATCCACCACAGAATTAATGGACATGAGTTAGAACTCCTCCATTCTATTCATCCTACAAGTCACTATGCCATGAGTATGGAAGAGCATACACTAAAGCTGGTTTTAGATAACAAATGTCATTTTAAAAATGGCAACTTTTTCTACTGAAAGGCATGGTTTCAGACATGAAAATGATGGCTAGTCCTGTTGAGATCAATAGGGCAGCACTACAATGAAGCTGTCACTCACTCTTTTGTTTAAATACAATCATGAATAGTCTGCCAAGGTAAGCACTGACTCTGGCTTAAGCTAGAGTGCTGAAAACTGTATTTGCTTATCTGATACCATCACTGAAGTGACAGCACTACGATAGCATTTTTAAAAGCAGTGGTAACTGGTGAAATCCTGCTCTACCCAAGACTTCCAATGGCTATTAAGCTTCCAAAATCACCTTAATTAAGTAGTGGCTTTAATGTTTGTAATATTACACACACTTCCCTAGTGGCATAAGATGAAACAAAACTATTGCCCTGAATTCCTTTTTGAAACCTCAGTGTGAAACTATGGAAGTGAAATGACCCAAGCTGTCTTCCAGAATGGAATGCCTTATGCTTTATTACTGTACTTTTGGCTGCTCCTCCATCCTCCTGAAATAGTTTGTTCCTGTATGCACCTTCTGGCTAGTGTTTACTAATCTTTTCTTAAAGAGGAGCTGATACCAAAGCACTGATTAAACTACAAAAAGTTAGCATGTTTCTCTTAAGAGCCACCTATCTAGTATGAAGTATGCAGTAATGAAATGGCACCACCTAGTTATATAAATGCTATTGTAGTTTTACTCCCAACAAGTGTGTTGCTCTTTTACTGTCCAGCAGAGATGGTGACTTCCTGCAACCATGGCTTACTAAGCTTCACTTCTGGATGCCTAAATCAATCTATGAATCACTTAAGTGCTCTATTTATAAATGTGTGACACTTTCTGTTCTACATCATAAGAAAATAAAGTTCATAAATGCAACAGCTTCTTGATTCAGCTGCCTTTTTATGTTGTTTGTATGGATACACAGAATTTTATCTTATTTATCAGTTCAAAAATCCCAAATGATTACCAGTTGCTATGGGTGTAGAGATGGATGTTGACATATCTATATTTCCTGGCCATGGTTAAAAATTACTACTTAGTAGGCCACTGCTGTTCTCTGCTTAAATATATGCTGTACAGCAGGGGTAGGCAACCTTTCCCCTTTAAGGGCCGAGGTACTTCAGCTCCCAGAATCCCAGGAGCTATTGGCCAACATGGGACTATTGGCTAACATGGCTGAGGCTTCTGGGAGCTGCAGTCCCTCAGCCCTTAAAGGGGAAAGGTTGCCTACCCCTGCTGTATAGGCTAAAACACTACACATTTCTAGTATCAGGAAAAATGACTGAGCAGAAAGCAAAAGGAGGAAGTTGTTGCTCAGTCCCTTGAAGCTTTAAACTATGTTACATGAACATGTAACAACCTGGAGTATCTTCCAAGAGGGGACATATAGAAGGGGTGAAAATCATGTGGCCCCTTTATGATGTTTGACTCCCTCTGCAACACTGAACATGAGATATACAGGCTAGAGCGGAACTGCAGTCCAACAACATAATGGAGACCACATGATTCTCACGTTATGTATTATAAATAAATCTGAATTTGCTCCATTATACTTCCATGAGTACCTATGATGACTTTAAGCATACACCTAAAAAGCATGCTAAGGGTGCCACAAAGATATGTCCTAAGTCATCTTCCAAACAGACACAATTTTCATTTTGAAACTTCCACTTTAAATTCATTTTGCTTATTACCTTGCAATAAGGTAATATTTCAGATTGTTTCTGTTAAATAGTAAGGTGTGACATGATGCCTGAGTAAAAGCGTATTCATCTTACAGGAAGTAAGAATGATGTCAAATGCATGACACTTGGCAAGTCTCACCTTTTTGTCATCTGGTTCTTTTCTGAAATCCCAGTTTAGTTTTACCACTCAGGTCAATTTGTTCCAGAAATTGCACTTTTCCAACATTTGGATACTTTTATTAAATACAGTTGTACAAAAACAACTATTCATTTTCTTCGCTGCGCAGTCTGGCATTTGGATTGGTGACTTTGATAGCAAGTTGAGCTGCTCTCTCTACAATTATCTTCCGATTCTTGGATGAAACATTATGGGCAATCTCTGCACAATAGGACCTAATCAGGAAAAAAAACAACAGTGTCTTAAGTAGATAATTGCCATTTCAAAGTCTGCTTCCACTGAGATGTTTCTCAAAACAATCACCTCAAATAGTAAGCTGAAGACAGTTTGTCTATACAGTGGTACCTCTACTTACGAATGCTTCATCTTACGAAAAA